TCACAACGCAGAAAAAAATGTAAAGTCGTTGTGATAAATGAAGAAATTACCAAATTGCAGACAATTCGATAAAGATCCTGACGTCATTACCGGAAAACGAAAATTACTGCCAGCTAGCTGGCATCATTTAAAATATTTTATTTACTAAACCTAGCATTAAAGACGCATGTTCGAAACAGAAGAAAACGTATGTTAGCATAGCCTTGTTATATTGAGCAAAATTTACAAGTCGGTTACAGATGTGAAATTTCAAGCTCTTATTCAAATTTACCAACTTAAAAGCAGCGTGCCTTCAGATCTATGCTTATTTACAAGAAAAGTTTGAAAATCTTAATGTATTTAAAATCTAAAATATTGTGAAGTGAACTTTACACACTGCAAACGGCACTTACAATCTGACAGTGATCTGAGTAAATTACCAAAAAGGGGTCAAAATATGCACAAAAAAACACCATTTCTGTATTACTAACGCAGTAGAAATATGGTGATAAATACTGCAAATTGAGTCATTTATCCTGAATCTTGAATCGTTTTACTTTACTTAAAACCTTTGTACAATTTTTTCAAGCTTGATTTTCTTGAAATATTTTGGCTTACCTGTAGGCGTGCAGCTGAGTGAATAATCGTATTCTACGCGGTTTGCATAGTATAAGCCCCATTTACGTCCCATCCGGTAAGGGAAGTAATTCTTCCTCGACGCTCATCACTTAAATGAAAGAGTCTATACGAGTCTGAGAATTTGTCCAGTTAGCATCAGCAATGATATGATATTGATCTTGTCTGTCGGCTTACAGAAAGTCTAATTCCTTGTTGATCAATATTCTTGATTTTACTTCACCTTAATATAACGAATTAGATCTACTAGTAATATGTTAATCAATTTAAAAAAGTTTTGGTGACAATCCAGATTTTTTAACAGAGACAGGCGAAGTGTACCATAAAAGAAAATTGATCGTATTGGAGCGGAGACCAAATCATAGCAATTCATGAACGTTACTTAATATATATCGAATTCTAAGTGAGCTTATTAAAAATAACTTGATCACGTGTAACATTTATATTTTACAGCAAATATAGATAGATAATTTATAATTTTATTGTGTTGCTTTCAAGAATAAATTTGCTTAGAAACAAACGCCATTATAATATACATTTTTCTTGATTACATCCATTCCAAACAACGATTTTAATTTGTTAGCTTTCAACATATTCCGTATCTATCAATATGATTTATTATTAACTTTATATCACTTAAAGTCAACACAATCATAACATAACAGACAATTATCAAAGTATTGTATATATCTCTAAAGCTTTGTATTGTTATGATGAAATACGCTTTATAGCCTTCTGTAGTTGTGAAAAAGAAATTTTCTATTATGAAAATCTATTTCACCTCTTTGTGGAAAGTTATGTTAGTGTTTGAATGCAAATAAATACAATTTTTGTTCGACTTTTTAAATTGCATTGCTATTATATTTGTGCCATTCTTTGAACAGAACTATTTACCTTCTCAGTGAAGATTATTAAAGTAATGAAGGGGTATTTGAAGGGGTATTTAGTTATCATATAGAACAGATATTGGTACAAGTCTGTTGAAAATTCAATACATTTACAGTTTAAGCGCACGTTATTCATATTCGAAAAATTCCACTGCAATGATTTAGTATGTGATTTTTATTTTTCACATTAATTCTGTTATCTAAATATTATGCTTTCATTGAAAGTAGCATGCATTGCGCTTTTTGCAGTACTTTAAACGTGAACTCTGATAATTAATGGAAATTGTTCGTGGTATTTCAAATCAAATACTCCTAAAGGAAAAAGTGATTTAGAATTAAATACACGTTTAAGCTTTGAATAAAAATCATAGGTAAGGTCGGGTGGTCAATTTCATTTAGATTAAACTGTGGTTACATATAAATATTAAATTAATAAATGTATTAGTTCAGATAAAATCCAAATATCTACGTATTTTATATAGAACTATATATCTTCAGGTTAATCAATTAATTATATTACATCTTCCATCGCAAAACATTTACATTTAATTAACGGAAAATCGTTAGATTATGTGTTTTTGTAAATTTCTTCCACACCGTTTCTCGTTTTATAACATTTATAGAAATTCAATGTTTTTGTATATTATATGACAAAATTGTTTTATAAAAACAAACGTTTAACAATATTTTTTCAGTATCGTGTCACTTATATCATTTGTTCTTTGTAGAAGTAATGATACAGATATCTATATCAATTAACGAGCTTTTCATAAAGTGAAACACATGTCAATATTATGAATAAAATATAAAATATTCCAGTCTGCATCACATTTATTATTCAAATGTTTTTATAATGTCTAAAATATTTTTTTTGATTTCGTGTATGCATTCTTATCAAGACCTTTGAAAATTATTGTTTGTAAATCAGCATTTGGATGATTTGGTCATGTCCAAAGGCCAAGTGATATGTTGTGGCTACTTGATATAACAGATTACATTGGTGGCTCCAAAATTAAAATAAAAAAATAACCGAAATTTCGTTTTTACATACAGTGGAACCTCCCTACAACAGCCAGTAGACAGATAATTGGCTGTTGTAAAGAGGTGGCTGTTGCTGGTAGGGCTTTATATCAAGGATGAATCTTTCTTTTCTTTTAAAGATATTGAAATGTGTATGGTTGTGAAAACAAGACCCCTTCAAATGGTTATCATCTATATATAGGCATGCAATACTTAAAAATTGTTGATCACCTCTCACCAACAGTCACATCCGTACAACAGCCAGTTATTTTTTTTATTTCCATTCATTGCTCTACATATAACAAGTCAGCTTTTAAAATATGATGCTATAAGTTCTTACACACTTAATGAACATGCGCCAAAATTACTGAACCTTTTGCGACAAAAATCAACAAAAGAATGTGTCAGGTATATTTACGGATGGTTCCGCTAATGTGTCCGAGGATTACTCTATTTTCCACCATGATGATACATATACATTTGTATATATAAAAATACGAACTATTCTTCAAAACTGAGGTGACGTTTAAGTAACAAACAAAATAGATCCGAGTAGAATTTATTGCTTAAATATACCTGAAATTAAATATACAATAATTTACAACAGTGTGCGTAAGTTTTCAAAGATGCAAATTCTTCGACAAAAAAGAAGAGAGAAGAAAATATAAAAAAGTCAGTATCATTTAAATTAAAAATGTTTAACTTGTGTAACGAAAATGAAATAATAGCTATGAACAATAATTGTCACTTCCCTAAATATTTTAACCTATCAAACCTTGAAAATAAATGAGGCTTTATAATAATAATGATGATTTTATTCCCCTGGTGCTCAAGCTTTTGACGGTAAACTTTTCTTTCAATGTAAGAAAGGGAGCGAAAGATACATATTAGTACTAGTGTAAAATATTTTCCTGTTATACTAGCCCTAACATAATTTTGAACGTTAAGTTGTTTAATATAACTGTTAAAGTACTTGCAGTATGCAGTTATTACATTTTGTAAAAATACCAGTCATTTCACATGGATAAACACTATAAAATAGACCATAGTCAATGACCTTAATGCGTTTAGATCGGCCATGATTTGGGTGGTCTTTTCGCGTGATTATAACATACAGAAATATTTCGTACATTATGTCATAATATTTTTTCATAGATCTGTCAAAACTTGTATAACTACTTGATTCAATTATGATATGATTCGTAAAATTTGCAATATGTCGCATTCAAAGTAAAACTGTCAATTTCTTAAAATATTAAGATAAAATCATTTAATAAATTTCAAAGAAAATAATCGTATGATGTAAATTAAATATGTGTGTTCGTTCATTCTTTTCTTTTTATGTTAACATTTTCTTGTTATTGAATCGGTGTTAATACATTGTAGATGTTTTTGATAGTAATGCTTGAAACAAGCAATGTTTATACAGTTCTGTTTTGCCATATTAACGTTCATCCATAAAATGTATTCATGTAACATAAATTGGTACAAACTTGGCGAATTTTCATATTATTGCATAAATATATTTCAAACCGTGTAACATTTCACAGAACGACACACCACGTTACAATATTATAATATAGAATATTGGATATCAATATAAGTTATTTTATCTAAACTAATACAAAACGTAACAAAAATATTCCAAGTAGCATTTCCACACTCCCCATTATTTAGAGAAAGATAGGACAAGTACACTGTCAAATGATTTACCTTCAGAACAAAATAATATGAATCTATTATCACGCCTGTAAATTGATACTTCTTTTTGTATCGATAGAAGTCCTGACTATGACAGTAGTAGTTGCTGAGAAAACTGTTACAAAAATTTCTTACTATTGATCATTAATAATGACAAAATTTAACTAAGTCGGCAAACAGGAAGTGGATGAGCTACAGAACTGAAATATGGGACCACGTGATGATGCTGTATACCAAATATCAAAAGGCTGTATATAGGGAGAACACCGGACGCGTTCACACTTGTTCAATTTTGGAACATCGCGCGTTCTATTTTAAAAACCTGTGTTCAGCAAAGGCGTTCCATGTACCAGTTTGAACGTCAGTGACTAGACAACATGAGAGTATTTGAGTACATGGGTAAGATTTTTGGTCAGTATATTGTCAACTGAGGTTACATTTGCACAATTCAATAAGTAATGATGCTTAAAAAATTAAAACCATAATATGAACAGTGGCGTTCATCACATGTTCTAATTGAGAACGTGTTTCGTTTCGTTTCGTTCAAAGCCTTGATAATGGCCGTGTTGTCACTTCCCTAAATATTTTAACCTATCAAACCTTGAAAATAAATGAGGCTTTATAATAATAATGATGATTTTATTCCCCTGGTGAAAGAACTGTTGTGGAACAAGCAGTGCTGAACGCCTTGAACTGCTCTATAGATCTACAGAAACGTGTCTAAAAATAGATTTGTGACAATTTGTGACGTCATAATTAGCATCCGCACGAGGGTACCAATTCAAGTACAACAACAACAATAACGAAACGCAAGCTGAAGCACTAAAATTGAAGAAAAATACGGTATAAACTTTAAATAAGTAACATACACTTCATTAGCATCTTTTTTATCCATAAATTTTATTTTTATCAAATGGGTTTATGTATACAGTAGAACTTAGTTGACATGTTGTAGTTCACAATGGCATAACGTGTCTCTTTATTCTTTTACAAGGAGTAGACCTAGATCTACATGATATACATGTAGATCTATGTGAGAATGTAGATTTTTCTGAGCAGTCGGGTTATTTAGATGCTAAGATTAATGAATTATTTAAATTTTGTGTGTTGATCTTTAAATGATATATTTTGTTGCTTTATATTTTAATAGGATAGCGAGTAAGAAAGTACTGTTGTGGAACAAGCAGTGCTGAACGCCTTGAACTGCTCTATAGATCTACAGAAACTGGAGCAAAATATTTACAGAAATTAGAAGGGGATGTAGAATCTAATTTCAGGACTTCCATACAGATCGTTGAGATTTGTTTCCTTTAAAAATACAATAGGTTCGACAATATTTAAATTCCAACATTGGTCTTATATAAGTACTGTCTTTAACTTATAAGGTTCTGTTGATCCCTTGAAATATCTATGAATACCTATGTGGATAGAACAATTTAATACTTAGCAAGTGTTGGAAATATAGATTATGTACATGTAAATAAATTCCATTTATATTTTCCAGGATAATGAAGAATACGATTTTCCAGCTAAATTAGAGACAAATGAAAACACCCCACACAAACTGATGATATTCAGAGGCGGAGTGTGTTTGTTTGTGTACTTGAAATTAACTTTGTTTTCGACATAAAACATTGTTTATTGTTTATGTTTTCAAGGTTTATTGTTTATGTTTTCAAGACTCTCACAAGTTAACATGTACTAAAAATTACTGTAAGGACTTTGTAAAACAGAATTTATGTTAATGTATTCTGATCATAATTGTTAAAGTCTTTTAGATATTTTTTTCTTTATAACTGTTTATAAGGCTTAGAGTAAGAAAAAAATAAGAATTTTTGAATAACATTATTCATTTTGTTATTGTGAATAACTGAAGAATAATTAAAAAATCTCAATATGATTTCTTCGTTTTATGACTTAGATCTGTTATTTTATAAAGTGTTCAAATATAAACATAAGTGTTCATCAGTGTTCTAAATTTTAACATACTTAACTTTGAACAAGTTCTATGCGTTCAATATCTGTTGCATCGGAATTGAACGCGTCTGGCATTTAAAAGTAGAACCCCTGAATGTTTATAACATGTTCAATAATGGAATGGTTTGGTCGTCAACGTTAAAATTTGAACACCAGATGTTCATAAGGCGTTTGGAGACAAAAATTGAACACTAGTATTAAGAAATGGAACGCGTCTTGGCGTTCAATATCTGTTGCAAATAGGCGTTCAAGATGTTATCTATTCTTTAACATTTACATTTACAGTGATATAGTTGCTGCGTAAACTGTTACGAAAATTTCGAACCATTAATCATTAATATCAAAAATTTAACTAAGTCGGCAAACAGGAAGTGGATAAGTGACAGACCTGAACTCGAATCACACGGTATGGGACCATGTGGTAATGCTGTATAACAAATATCAAAAGGCTGTGATAAGTAGTTGCTGAGAAACCTGTTGCGAAAATTTCCTACCATTGACCATTAATGTCGAAAATTTAACTAAGTCGGCAAACAGGAAGTGGATGAGACACAGACCTGAAATCGAATCACACGGTATGGGACCATATGTTAATGTTGTATGCCAAATATCAAGAGGCTGTGATAAGTAGCTACTGAGAAAACTGTTACGAAAGTTTTTTCCCCGCCCGCCGGCCGCCCGCCCGCCGGTCGCCCATCATTCACCATACTATAACCCGGGTTTGCACCTGTGCAACCCGGCCAAAAATGTATTGTATGTATAAATATGCAATGGGTGCAATGAATTTTATATTGGACAAACTGGGGAAATAACGTCAAATGTACTGTATAGTATTAAAAAAGTTCAATTTTTGATACTATACAGTACACACGTATAGTGATTTTGTGCTCCACCCCTGATGAAGGCATAATACGCCGAAAGTACTTGGGTATTTATACTTTAGCACTGTATGAACGTTTATTTTCTCCAAATTTATTGTTATTCTTTCCACGTTCTTGTATCCTTCTTGGGATCCGGTGTTTTTGAAAGGTATTTTGTGGATGTAAAAAAAATTCACAAACCTATATATATATATATATATATATATTCACTTATAATTGGTTTAAAGAGCTCTCAAAAAGAAAATCGTGGAAAACGATGCTGCTGATGATAAATTGTAATGAGAGATTGATTGTGGTAACCGATAATTGTATCATAGTTTGGGGACCTTTCTGTTGAAAAAGTGTCAGAGTTAAATCGTATACATATACATGCACAGTGCGGTAACTGGAGTGCGGGTATCAGTTACCCGCACTCCAGATATTGCCCGTTGATTGGTTCATTTTTGCTGGGGTTTACATATTGTGACGGCAGAGAAAGGGAAAGGGGCAGAAATATCATATTCAAATGCTCGTTCATTGGTTAATTTTTTCTGGGGTTTCATTTTATGACAACAGGGAACGTGCTGTCATGTTTTACTATGATACAAAAGAGAAAGAACACCAAAACACTCGGCAATCTGATTTATACTCGGGGGCTACGCCCCTCGTACAAATCAGATAGCCTCGTGTTTCGGTGCTCTTTCTATTACATGTATTGTGTGAAATGCGCAACAATGAACAACTAATGATTGTTCACTAACGTTTGCTTTCTTCATTCTATTGCTTAAATTAATCATAATCGATAACGATTGTTAGGTTGCATCAAGCGATTTAGTTTCAGGTAGGACAATTGAACTGATGAAGTAAACAAATGGACTCGTCCGATTTTAAGAGGGAGCACTACAGTATGTATTTACAGAAAACGAAAAAATAATTCAAACACGCAAAATGGCATTTATTTATTATAGTTCAGATACAATGTGTGATGAGTAATAACATATTTGCCTTTTTTCTAAAATTTTCCTCCTTTACTCAATGATCACAATTATACTGTTTTCTGTCGTCTGCTGTTTACCTCTAAACTAAATGGCGCTGTCCATATATATTCTGAATGCTTTGGATTTCTTAGTGAAGTAGTTTAATATCGACATGTCTCAGTGAGTGTAAAACCGTTATGGTCAACTTTACGTTGTGCAGTAACTAACGGTGGTACAGAGGTGACATGGGTGTGTTTTTTTATCTCGTGAACACGAGATACTATGTTATGTGCACGAGTTACTTAGTCGTGCACACGACTTAGTAACTCGTGCACACATATGATTAATTGGTGGGCACGATATACTATGCCGTGCGCATGAGTTACTAATTCGTGCACATGAGTTACTTAGTCGTGCGCACGAGTAACTAAATCGTGCGCACGATATGATTAAGTGGTGCAAACGATATACTACATGTATGTCTTGCGCACTAGTTGCTAAAGTGGTGCAAACGAGATTATTAAGTCGTGCTACGAGATAATAAACCAGTCAGATTACACTATATATATATGAATTTTTTTAACTCTCTCTAGAATTCCTGGTTAAAGTCCCATCCTGTAATAGTGTTAATCATAACGTACCTACTAACGCCTGTTAACCTTGTCCACATAATAACTTGAGAAGGAAAAAGCCCTGTTTTTGGCGTCCGCGCCGAAGCGCGGCGCCCTTATGGAATGAGAAAGGGCGACAGCAACTTCTCGAGCCTTATAGTCGGTCATAATAAAAGCCGATCATTCCGATCGGTATGAGGGTGCTTGATTAAAAAAATGTTTCGAATTGCGCACTATGCATGAAATAACCTTTTCCGTCTCTTCGCGGTTTTTTTATTTATCATTTTGTAGTACACAGTGGGTTATTATTGGCGTCCGCGCCGAAGCGCGGCGCCCTTTATTGTGAAAGGGCGTCAGCAACTTCTCGAGCCTTTTAGTCGGTCATAATAAAAGCCCATCATTCCGATCGGTATGAGGGTGCTTGATTATTATTAATTAAAAATGAAATGTCGCGATATGTACAATGAATAGCGAACTGGAGAATTTCGCAATGCAAACATTTTCAAATGAAATAACCTTCTCCGTCTCTTCGGGTTTTTTTTTATGTATCATTTTGTAGTACACAGTGGGTTATTATGGTATGTTAAAATAGAATGATGAGTTGATGACCTAAATTTTACATTCCGAAAATCTATTTATAGAAGGATGTACTCCTATCGTTAATTCCCGGTCTCTGACCGGGATTTACTAGTGACCGGCGAATAGTATCACACGTTTATAGTCCAGTCTCTCCCGGTTTTGGAGTAGATGTTTGATATCGTTACAGAACAGAAAAAATATTTTACAGATAAATAAGCTTTTTTTTCCAAAATGAATGTTTGTCACTTAGTTTGGTTACAATAATTAATAAACATAGATCAACTTTCAAATTTATTGATTATTATAATACATAAACATACAATTCGAAAAAAACACAAAAAAACAAAAACAATAGCATGTTTCATTTTATCTATATGAGATAAAAACAATAAATATGTACCATAATTGAGAAAAAAAGGTACATTTTATGGCATTTATATGACACTATCAACTTTGAAACATTTTATTTAATTTGTTATTCGTGTTTAGTAAAGATGCCGAGGAATAATTCAAAGTTACAAATTCGATTTTATGAATTATTTAATTGATTGATAATTTAAAAAAATGATAATTAAAAGAAAATTACAAATATACATCTACATGGTTTAAGAATAAACAATATCATATATTGAAAGATTAACCATAATTTACTGACTTTTTCCAGTTAAGTTTTGACTTTTAATCGTCGGTCAATATGACAATTGAATTCTTAAAATTTATTTTACAATTTTAATAAAAAAGGAGAAGTAAACGTAAAAAACTCAGTATTAAAATAGCACATAAAACACAAAAAAGATGAAAACAATATTTATAAAATCTGTATTTTTATATTAAAATAGATATTACAATATTGTATAATAAACAATTATGCTCAACATAATCAATATGGTAATATAAGCAGTGTCCTATTTTTACTAAGTGTGAACAGATACCTTAAGGGGGGGGGGGGTCTTCGCTTATAGAGATAACATAATAAGGGACAAGTGTGCATGGTGTTGAACATGCATTACACATATGGATTATAAATGATTGTATACATTGTATCCGTTGCTATTAATAATCGCGATCATAAAGAAATAACAAGTAATATTCTAATATCTAGCATGCCAATATTTGTTTTAATATTTTTTATAATGAATAATGTCTTTCGTCCGTTCATTCTGGTAAAAACCAATTTTCCATTGAAAAGTTTATAAGAATATCTTGTCATCATATGTCTATTAGTTCATCTTCACTTTCTGCATTTCTTGCTTGGACGCCCTTTGATGCTTTGCATCAATGCTTTTCTTGTTATCATTTGGTAGGAACATTGCCCATGGCCAGTAGATGACAACTGATTTTGAGGTCATAAGGTCAAAGGTCAATGTCATAGTGAAACTTATTACGCGTAAGTGTATATATGCCACTGTGACAGGCAGATGAAGTAGGGGCATCATTGTCTTATGACACATTTCTAGTAAAGTAAGAAAATTCTCACATATAAAGCGTAATCTGATTGGTTAATTGTGTGCACAACTTAATTTTCTCGTTCGCGCGACTTAGTAACTCGTGCGCACATCTTAATTATCTCGTGCGCACGGCTTAAAAACTCGTGCGCACAATATAATATCCTAAGCGTACCACTCAATTATCTCATGTGCATGAGCATGACATAGTATTTCGTACGAACTTCTTAATCTTCTCGTGCCCACGAATATTTAGTAACTCGTGCGCACGTATTAAAACTCGTGTGAACGACATAAATACGATATAAATAAAAACACAAACATGTTACCTCTGTGCCACCGTACTTACCAC